TTATCATGAAAGATGGGGTGCATATGAAAACCACTTGATAAGCATACATGTTGCGCTTCCACAGCCGGCAATGAGAAAATACGGCCAAAAACAGAAAATTATCCTTTATATACAGATATTAAAGATCGTTCATTAGAACAAAATTAAATTAATCTCTGTGATTCAACCAAAAATTAACGCATAAAGCTGCTGTCCACATTCTAAATGCCAATTTTATTTGTTTTTACACCAAGGATTTAATAAAGTGTTTTCTTATATCCGTTTGACATACAGACTGGTGGAACACTGCCGTGCTGCTACGGGACTGGGTCGGCTCACCACCCTTGCTCACTATCACTGAACAACCACGAACTTGTCTATCGGTTTGCCTATCTACGTAGCTGTACCAACTGTGGTTACTTCATCGCCGAGGAGTTTGACCTACCTATTTATAAGGCCCGCTTGGCTTTTCTAAGCTTTGGGCACTTGTGGAGGTGGGGAGATATACTCTGATAGCGGGGTTTATAACACTCCAGTGTGTCTATTTTGCTGTTTCGATCAAAGACCGGACCGCTACATATGGAGACTGACCACCGCTGCCTGCGAATTGTGGTTCAAATCCGGTAGGTGTGCCGATTGCGTAATACCCAACTTCGACATGTGATGTTTCATAACAGACCATTTGGTGCCGCATTGAACTGCCTACTGAACTCGGATCACATTCGTTGACTCAGATTTTTGATCTGCACGCGTACAAGCCAACTGCCTTGACTGTCAGAAAACATTGCGTCTAATTTGATAAAACTCCGAGATGACCAGTCAATGTTGACATAGTAAAATGGTACGGAGGAACCCGCCTAACGACAGTCCGATTGGAATTTTGTGTTTTATTGGATGAGGACCTCGGGACTTGCCACGTTGTTGGGTGGACATTTTATCGGATGCGGCGCTCTTGCATTAGTTCCTTTACTTCGGACACCGAAATGCCATCTGACGCTTTAATTTATTGTTCATTCCTCCTGTTATTATTATTGTTATTATTATTATTATCGCTGCGACGTATGTCAACGCAACTGGGTGCACTACGTCTCGATTCGCGTAGATCAACGTTGATAAGATCAACTGAACTGAACCAGGGCTGATAGCGGACGCGGTGGTAAGAAACTTCCCATCTCGACGCACAGTCAACTTTGGTTTGACCCTACTTGATTTTGGTCGTTCCATAGGTTTATGTTCAGTTATTGTTTTCGTTACTGGTGATGCGCTCACGACATCTGTTCTACTCCGCAACAAGCATCTTGCGGGAGATCTATTCCTATTTGTTCTGGATAAGTTTTTATTTGGTTCGATTAATTGCTCCCAGCGTCCTGCAATCTTACGAATGTATATTAGCACGTTGCGCTTGTCATGAATGTCGTCAGTTCTAGTATGCTGCATCTCCGAGGATAGAGTCCGCGATTTTCATCCGGTTATGGAACTAACTGTGCCCAGGTTGTCCTCTCATTATTGGTTGGGCTTTTTCGGAGACGTTACTGAAGCAGCCGCAGATCAAACTGAAGTATCATTCCTAGCCTCACAACTGAGTCCGCCTTGGTTGTTCGATTGGATTCACCTTAACAACCCACTATGTGCGACCAGGTTGACGACATCGGCTGAAGTTAGTGCATAGAGCGGTCCTAGACGTTGTTTGTTTGTGTACGCAGTCTTGATTCTCACTATGACTCCTCCTACTGCAAACATTTTATTGTTATTAGCTTAGATATGGCTCTATCCGCAGGGTTTATGGGTGCATAGTCGGTTCCTCCTAGCTGGAGCTTGCTTCCGAGTGCATGGACAATGGCGAGCGCCTGTTACAACTACGGGTCTAGCATCGTCTACCTTTAGTAGCACCACGCTTGGATGCGATGGGGGCCGATGTGCCACTTGACGTCTCCCGCAGCCTACCAGCGATGCACCAAACTTGACCAACTCATCGTAAGATTCAGCTGGCAAAGTTCCGTTGTTGGCTTGGGGTCACGTGCCTCGACTCCGATTGTTCCCTAGTCCACTGTCGAGGAATTTTGCCTGGAACGGCGACAGACGAGTTCTCAGCCAAGAAATCATATCCCCAGACTAGGCCAGCTTACGCGGCCGCTCTGTGCACCAGTATTACTTATAATTATTTCAAAAACATGCAGATCCGTTGGAAAAGGATTTCCGTTGCTGTGTATGATATAGCGGCTTATGTTTGCAATGCTATCAGTACTCAGCGCACTGGGCACCGGACACCCGAAAAGTCTGCGAACCTGTTGCATCCTGAAATGAAGGAGAACGCCTGCTGGCGCTAGTCACGACCAAGTAAAACGAACCATTGACTTTAGTATTCTTCAATATGGACATGAGTTCCGGCAGTGGTGAGAGAATCATGAAACAATTCCTGTATACCGTGGTGCAACGCCTGAAGTCAGTAATATTAGTATACAACATGTGTTCTCAGCCTACCAACGACTTCTCGGAATGCGACACGAAATCCGCATGATGGATTTTTATTCGCTTTTATGCACGTCTTCCACTATCCAACGTTAAATGCTGTATGCGAACTACCTTTCCGCGCATGTTACGTTTTGTTCCACAAAAGCAGTGTCAGTTGGTTGAGTCAGTTCTTCCACGCTGTAGTATGTGGCTTCGCCATTTTGTGCGGAGCTTTGTGGATAGATACCGCTTTCTGATTTGTCCCACTACTTACTTCTGACTCAGCAGTCCGGTCCACAGTACAGTTGTGTAAATGAACATTTATCTGAGAATCTCCACCCGCGGACTTCGGTACCACAACAGGGCTTCAGTCGAACCTTGACAGATCACGCATGTCTACTGACGTACTATCCGGGCGTACACTTTCTGCTACAGAGAGACCCAATGATGAATAGCGAAGCAAATGCTATGGATTGTAGGTGCCTGAAGATTAATATTCACTGCTTGATACCCTTTCCGACATGGTGCAATTGGGTGTTTATTGAAACCCTCACAACTATTTCCTTACTTCTGTCTGTTTTTTCTCCGACGACTCGACATTTTTTCCACTGAATACCCTCCTAGTGACCAACTTGCAGTTGACCTTTGATCAAAGCCTTTTCACTACAAGCGGCCTGTTATTGATCGCTTCTAGCCAGTTGGGTTGATTCGTTGTCACTGTATTCTATGATTGATTCTTCCTTTTTCCCATCACGTCTCATCGATCCTTTGGCTGGATACACCTCTTTTTTGTTGTCATACGAACCAGTCGCATTCATCCGTGCTCCAAAGGATTGAGCATTATCCAGACCAACCTGAGCCAATCGCCTATCGATTGTCTAACTCAGCAGGACCGCGTTGCTCGCTGGTTTGCTTGATCTATACCTGGACGATATTTCATTGGTGATGCCTCCATCCACCTCCTGTGTCTACTCTAACCTAACAGCCACCACCGAATTTCCATTCCTCTTGGTTGTTCCTGTAACCGCTTCTCTCCGTTATTCTCCCCAACCATTGAACTGGACTTCGTATCCACTACGGTCTCCTAGACACCATGACACCGCTTGCTCCTGAGTCTACGCGCTTCTCTAGTTGTGATCCTTAGCTTACCATCTATCCAATCAGACGTAACTTTTTCATGTCTTTTTTCTATCAATATTTAAATTATCAGGTTGTTAATAAAGTTACTGTAATTTTTAATCTCAAAATTTAAATGCATATATCTTGGCTCAAACGTAACGTTTTTGTATGAAATAACAGCCATTTGAAATCAAAACCATTTGAATGGACACACTTGCCAACGGGACCCAACTTTATTTATTCCGGATGAATAAAATTCCGTAGTTCTCATGGCGATGAAATCGTCGAAGGCGGTTTCAGCACCTCCTTGGGTTTTACAATTTTGTCTTTGCAGTAAGTTATCCAGGTGCTTAAAAAAGTGGTAAACGATAGGTGAGAGGTCAGGCGAGTATGCTGGGTGAGACAAAGTTTCGTAGCTCAGCTCATGTAGCTTCCGCAGCGTTGTTTGTGCGATTTGCGGCCGAGAGTTATCACGGAGAAGAATTGGCTCCTATCTATTGCCAGTACTGAGCACCTGTGTTGAATTTTTCGGTGAATTTCGACAACTTGTTGACAATACTTCTCCGCTGTAATGGTTTCCTCTAGATTCTGAGAGCTGTATTGGATTAGACCAGCCGCAAACCAGCAAACAGCTACCATAAATTTTTTGGGGTGTGCAATTTCGAATTTGGAATGTATTGTGGAGCTTGATCGTGGTGTAACCACCAAGAGGTTCCTCGTCGATTGTCGTAAAGGTCACAGGTCGCAGGTCACAATCTGATCGAGAAACGGGTCGTTTTTATTGCGAGGAGAAGAAGGGCAGACGACATCTCAGAACGACGATTTCTTTGATTTTCATTCAATTCTGCAACACCCACTTATCAAGCTTTCCCAACATTGCGGCCTTCCGTAAATGTTTTAAAGCTGTCACATGCAATACCGCTAAGTCAGCAGCAAGATCTCGGATAGTTTTATGCTGACCCGCTTTAACTAAGGCTTTTAATTCATCTTTGTTCACTTTCAATGGCCGTTCACAACGCTCTTCATCTTCAATCCTTGTTGTAACCTATTCGAAATATTCCAAACCACCATTCTGCAATACGGTTATTTGTGGTTCCAGCACCAAATGCACTGTTGTTGTCAAGGACTCTGTTTCCGCTGCATTACGACTAAGTTTAACTTGGTACAAGAAAATTGTGCGAATTTGGCTTCTATCCATGTTGCATTAAATGTGCTGTAAAGATGTTGAAACGTGTTTCTGAGCTAAACTCTCACCAATGTTAAATAGAGCGCAAAGCTGGCTTCAAGATGGTATGCAAGGTCAACGCAACTTAATAAAAATTATTTAAAAGCAGCTTTTAAAAATGTCAAAGAACCACCTAATATCTCACGTTACATCCTTCGAACTTGCTGATTTTAATCTTAATTTCACCCTTTTGTTCGTGTCTAATCCCCTTTTTTCTCAGCCCTGTGATTTATATCATCCGGAGATCGTGAAACGGAAACCAGCCGAGGTCCCCAACACTCAGTCTCGTAAACACATTATGTTTCAAGTGCAGCGACGCCTCCGTAATGCAACTGGAACAACCGATGAGCGATTTGTAAGTCCTCTGCTTCATACATGCCTGTCTTCTAATCTGTTTCCGTGCTTCACTTTCCAATCTGTTTCCGTGCACACTCTCCAATCTCTGCATCGTTTGTTCTTTTCATCCCAATCTGTTCTGGAGTGGTAGTTGTTCCGGGCGAACAACTGGCACGCTTAAAGTGCACCACGGCATGATTTACCTTAAGTTTGACCTAATGTGTGTGTGTGTGTGTGTGTCAAGTCGCCTCTGGACAGTCTGGCGTAGTGTTTCCCGAATACTCGAGGGTTTTCGCACTTTCACTTGTAACACACTGCTGCCGGACACTGGGTTGACAGGTAACCGGTTATAGCTTTCACCGAAGGGTCGATGGAAATGAGGTCGATCGGTCCCTTTACCGTGGTAGTTATGTCATGTCATTTCTGATGTTCACACCACCTTAGACGTATCATTGAAACCCATCTGACTCTCCATAGTTACATACATGAATGAAGGTGTGACGGGCTGTCGGTTCACAACGCTGTGATCAGGCTGACCTCAGCGCGGAGATCACAAACAAGGCCACACCGCACTGAAGGCATGAAGATATTTGAATAGTGTTGCTCAGATCTGGTGGGATCATCTGATGAACGATACTGTAAGCTGCTAGCTTGTGTATTTGCAACGAGGACCTCTGGTGGTGCGCGGCTGATATATGTACTGAATTCCGGTCACCTACGTTGTCTTGCTTACATCTCTCCCATGTCCGTTGACTCCTGTGTGCATCACCTGCCATCACTTCGTCTAGTTGCTGGAAACCGCAACGTGGTCATTCAGTTAAGCGGCAGGAAGGTAATAACAATTTAACATTCTTGTTGGTACGTGCCATCTTCATAGATGGTGCCTTAGGGATCAGTCACCTCAGTGGTTGGAGATCTTGTCCGGTATGGTGGAGTCATTGGTGCCCGCTGCATATGATCCCACAGCTACCTGTCAACTTTTTACGTGTTTACTTACATTTTCCGCGTCTTTGTACTTTTTCAACTACCGCACTGCCACTTGTTTTTGCAACCGTAATTGGAGCCTTGCTCGTTTCTCTTATCTAGGTAGGTGTTGAAGGCGTTTCCCTATGGTCTTATCTTGTTACCTAGATTCGTATCGTATACTGCTATGCGGTGTTTGAGTTTCATTCTGGACTCTCCCCCATATTCATTAGATTGATGTTATTTTAATCTCTATCCCCTCATTGGTTATAGTAGAATCTCTCTATATGACTAACCACTGGTCTCTTACTTCTCATTCAACTAAAGACATTTCAAATACACACATTTCCCTTCGCTCTAGCCTGCATTTTGACTACATCCATCATAGTTTATTCAGCTGAGTTAAACAACTATGATCCGAACACCAAATTGCAGTCCGCTAGCCAAGTGGTCCAGTTAGTGATTCCCCCAAAGACACGTCAGCTCTGCGTTGTCCATCTGACCCGTGTAATCCTAGTAAGCTTGCTTGTACAGCACTTAATTCGTTCAACTTTATCAACGAACCACGCTGCTCTTCGTTCGTGTTACGCAAACTGAACTCTGTCTTGCCCGTACGTATGTGGCCAGCAGTCGTGGGTCGTGTTTCATTGGTTTCTCGTCCATCAGTCTCTTATCGGTTATGTTCACCCAAGTAACCAACGACCATCGCAGCGGAACTAGTTGTTACGCCACGTTAACACTCCCAACTGAACGACAACATCCAAAACTTAGACTACTAATCAACTTACGGCACTATAATTAATCTGGACAGAGTAATGATTAGTAGACAGCTTACGCACGGATCTCACGAATCACCGTGGCCTTGTGATCAAAACTGCAGCCGTTAATCACTATGTGCCTGGTTCCATTCCTGGCTCAGGTTATCTCTACAGGATGAGTCCAAACGAAACCGGTCGTGAGGTGCCCGTGTTGTGTGGGAGGAACATCACCGAACTACCTGCACTGCTGGATTCGAAGGATTACTAGGGGTGTGGATGCGCATCGCCTTCAGCACCTCCAAACTCAGATTGACAGCCATTATGCTCGATTGGAAAAGCACTGGGCAACGTTTTTATGCTGTCCATACTCGCCAGCTATTCCGAGAGGCATGTTGGTGGGAGCCACGCTTCATCAACGGAGCCGGCCCACACTCCTTCACAGGCAAACACAAGTACGCTGTAGTTGGGGAATCAAACGCACACAAGGCGGTGGCTGGACCGTAGTCAGCTCCACACTGACTGCATGGAATCACTCTTTGATCTTAACACGGCCACAAGGACTGTGCACCCCGTCCCCTCCAGCAACGACCAACTGTCTCCTGGAGCCAGTATGGACGATGTAGTGGGTAATAGACAGGTAGGCACCTTGTCAACATGCACATCAAGCGCAGCCACACCGAGGATATCAAGCACCAGCCAACCACTTGAAACGACAAGATGAAATAAAGTAAATCGCATAATGCATACAGATATGGTGGCATAACTCTTCGCTAAATTACCATATGAAGTAAGTTGGATAGCAACGAATCCGTGATAAAGAAAAAAGTCCACAAGTTACTTAAAAATGCTACAAACGCAACAAAGTTACCGAAGATAAGCGCAATCAGCGTGAGCAACGTGGCCAGTTAATAGAAGGTTATTCAGGTAGGCAGAACAAACTAAATAAAGTGGAATGAAATTTATCCAAATTAAAAAGACCTAGTTTAAGTGTAAGTTCGTTTAGCCTAACTGCGGTGAAGAGGAATCAAGAATGCAACATCAGCCTCAGCATGGGGCACACATTATACCCGACGGGAAAAGCACTGGGCAGCATTTTTATGCTGTCCATACTCTCCAGCAATGCGGATCTCAAACTCGCTAGCCTCTACTCTTACGAGCGGATGATTGGGACCAGTGGCAGATGACGGATGCCGTTTGCGAGATGGCACGACACAAAAGTACTCACTCGACTGCGTGTTGTGATTATGATACAAGTCAGATGATCGTGGGTAAGGACTGACCTTGCTGCCTACATTGTCTGGACCAGTTTCTTTTTGACTAACAAGGTTTGGACTTGCAACCTCATGTACACTACCTTGCTGTAAATAGAAACGGAACTCTCAATCGATGATTTCTCCACACGGGCGTGTTTCACTTATCCTCGGAAGTGGCGCGTTGGTCCATTAGGTAACCGATGCTGCTTACCCAATCTGTTTATTGCGCTGACGAAACGTGGGTTGGAAACGGCCGCTAGTATCACTACGAAACTTGTTTGATTGCCGACTCGTTGAACGCAATTCATGGGTCCAGTTGAACCCTCTAGAAGCAGGACACAATGGTGGGCCCGCCTGTGTTTAGACCCCTAGTCGTGGACCACAGTCGGTGTCACAAAGATTGGTGGAAAATGCAGTTGGAACAGCCAGAACCAATACTGAAATCAACATGCTTCGTTACATGGAGTTATCCACCGTTTAACAAACCACATTGACTGTTTTACTTATCGAGGGGACTATTTACCCCCTCTTGTTGCGACCTAAGAACCTTGATTCTTCTCCTTTGCGAAACACTTCCGCTCACCACCACTTTAATCACAAAAGCTGATCCACTACTTAAAAGTCCAGGCACTTAGGCATATCGAGGAGCGTTGTCACCGATGCGGGTTATTCCTGCTCACTGTCGGTCGTATTGGATGTGCCACTAACCATACCAACCGGTTGTTTCCCAATCTTTCTGAAATCATGAATCGTCGATCGGTTGAATAAACCAGTTATTTTGTACCGCAAATTGCGAAACGCAGTTTAATAATAATAATAACAATAATACTTATAATAGTAATAATAATATGTGTACCAAAATTAACTGTACTGGTTTTCCTATGCATTACTAAACTTCTCGTTGGTGGATGTCGGCGCGTGAGTCGAGATTTTGCTACCTGTCTAGACTTGTTTCAATTCGAACGGCTGAGTCATTCTCGCTCTGCACCAATTCGTGTAAGGTGATGTGTTAATACCTTACCTTTTGCGATGGTGCAAACTGTTGTACGACGGTACACTGTTAACTTTTGTGTGAAACTCAAGAAGACTGCCACCGAGACATTTGACAATTTAACGGAAGCTTATAGATGCCACTCTATTGAGGAATATGGTGTTTAGGTGGCATAAAACTTTCACAGAAGGTGGAAACAATGTTTAAGTCGGGCCTTTTCACATAACGCCAATCTTATCAGCAAACGATCAAAATGTGGAAGTTTTGCGAGATGTTCTACCGGAAGAGTACCGATTGAATGTCAAAATGCTTGCAGAAGAAATTGGCTTGGATAAAAATGCAATTCATAACATTTTAAGGCACCTTTTACACCATCGGAAAATCTGTGCACAACTCGTACACAAAAACTTGTCTGCAGAAGAGAGGGAGAAGTTTGTGTGAATTTGCTGGGAAGACTCCGAACTGAACTAGATTTCTTGTCTAAAGTACTTACAATAAACGACTCATGGCTTTTCGAGTGTGATCCCGAGCCTAAACAGCAAAATGAGGAATGACACACGAACAATTTTCTTTCTCCATAGAAAGCGCACATAAACAGGTCCAGGGTGAAAACGATGATTGTCGTTGGAAATTGGTATTGCCCACCCGAAAACACTGCACAACCACGACGTGTTTCGATGCAGTTTCATCAGGTACCAGACGTTAACCACCGTGACCCGGTAGCCAAAGGGGTAGAGGTTACTGCTACTATTCGAATGGTCGCGACATCGAGGCCTGCTGTCTCCACCTGATGAGATGAAATTACATCGAAACGCGTCGTGGTTGTGCAGTGTTTTCGGGTGGGCAACACCCAATTTCCATCTGCTTTGAGTACGGTCCCAGTGATCGCAGTGACTAAGGTTCATTTCAATGTGAATCACAGTCCATTACATTGAGATTGCGCGTCGCAATCCAATCACACAACGTGTAGTCCAAACTTGACCCTCCAATTGATGATTGTTATTCTTTTTCGACAGCCGTGGAGTTGTGCACAATATATGTTTACCTCTACGACGGACAGGCCTACAACGGTGTCTTGGAACGACTTCAAAAATGGGTCCATGGAGTCCGAAGGGACATTGCAGATGGTTGGGTGCTGCATCACGATAAGGCGCCTGCTCACACAGCACTTTCGAGAGTTTTTGGCGAAGATGAACGCCCCACACTATCACAGTCTTTATACAACCGTGACCTAGCTCCATACGGCTTTTATAACTTCCCTAAGCTGAAATCTAAGTTGAAAGGTAATGATCATAGAACCGTAGTAAACATCTGGAACATTGTAACGAATGAATTTGACAGTCTTGCGGAAACCGACTTTCAGTACTGTTAGGATCAATGGCAATACGTTGGAACCACTGTATACCTTTCAACGGGTCATACTTTGAAGGAGATAAATTGTAATTTCGGGTGAGTCTTATATACATTTAAATACACTCAGTTTTCGAGAGGTTGTGCTCACAGATCACGCTTTACAGTAGTTTGCGATCTGATGTATTGATAAATAGTTCACAGATTTATTACAAGCAGTTCCGGTTTCGACTGCCAATCACTTCGAACTCGGCTTACTCCAAGTGTGGGTTGTAGAGCCAGCCATCCTGTCACCATCAAGTGTCATTGCGCGTCTTCCTTTCCCGTCCCCAATTCGATACCGAGGAAGCTGGCCGCTTCTTCTGTATGTCAGGTTCACTTTTGCGCCGCATCTTTATTTGTGCCCTTTCGGATTGTCTCCTCGACGGTATAGCTCAATCTCATCAATTGTATGTTTTCTTTTCTCATCCTGCAATTTCAGTCCGAAAATCGGCAACGCATCAAATATGAACATCGTGTTCATGAGGTAAGCATCACTGTGTTTCCCTGTTTTTGTATCTCTCTGATTTCGGCTATTTATCTATCTTGCATGTTCCTGGGCTTTATTTTACTTTATGTGGTTTCACTTGTAGCTGCCAATTTCGTGTACACTGTTGCCAATATCTCCAATCCAAAACAAACGACGAACCGTCCTGTAGCATGTCTAAGCGTACATTCTAGCACCGGCGCGTGTCTATCGCTGCACTGGCTTGTGGTGGGTTTTCTGACGTCTGTTACGAAGATCATTCATCAGGTGGCCGGCATTAGGTTGCTATCTGAAAAGCATATGATGGATTTAATGAAGACGAGAGTTTGGGTCTACAATTACACAGTTTAACTTTTTACCTCCTGATTCTCATTGTGAGTACCCGCTTCTCATGAATTTTGCTAGGCATCGACGTTTGTAGCAAATTACAACTGAAACTTGCACAATCAGGCCGTGTTGTGTGTTCTTTTGCCATCGCTAGCTCATTGGAACTTCCAACTTATTTGATTCAAGTATCGGGTGATTTCCCTTCATACGGCTCTTCACCCGAAGCTAAACATCTTAGACTACAATATGCTGTCTCCTTTTGGAGTCTAGGATAATAACCTTACTGTCTGGCTTATTCTTATCGCAATAACCAACAGACATGGAGACCGGAGACTCGGTTCTCAATAGTGTAACGCGTTTTTCACGCGCAGCATGTAGCAAAAACGGCGATAACGATTGGCCCACGTGTGTTTACTTAATCACATGTACAAGGGTGCGACTCACTTCACGTGATATCGCGAGCGGCTGCCAGGGGCAATGCACTCTCTACAGTCGGAGCTCTACGTTCAGCAAAGCACGTGTATCCCAAACGGACTATTATTCTTGTTTAACTTATTCTACTGTGCGCTTCATAAGCAGAGAGAACATCCTAGGGCGAAAGCACTTCCCCATTTGGGGAAGACACGCCCACTGTAAATGATGTATTAGAAATGCCTTGCAGCAACTCGTTTCTAAATTCCTTTTTTCTGCAATCGTTTGTGCCTCTCAAGCTCAATCGGGGACAACTCTGCTTTGATGCGTCAATTATACTGATACTAATACATAGTATCGTTACAGCTGACACGTTTTTTCGACATGATCGAGTTTTGGCAATCACTGTCCCGCTGACGTAACAAGTTGGTAAGATAATCATGAGTTGTTCAGGGTCAATATAACGAGGTCTCGAGGCTTTGAAGTTTCCGTTCTATCTTCGTCGCTCTTTTGCTGTTGAATCATGTTGAAGCACCCCCAGTGAGGTGTTGATGTAGCGTGAAAACGTTCTGTTTATATACAGAGAACACTTGCAGAAATATCCTAGCTGGCGTGTCTGAGGGTTCCAGAGCTCAGGTAACAATCGGTTCTGTGCCTAACGACAGATGCCTCTACACACTGACTGGACTAAGCCCTTATTCCTCAGAACGGGGGACAAAGAGTAAGCCGGAACTGTTTAGGCCAGAAGCAGAAACGTTTCTGCAGAGTCATTACGGTAGTGACTGTGGTATCTAATCCGAACTGAGTAGTTATCATTCAGCGTTCCCAGAGGTGACATTGAAGTAAAGGTACACTGTTCTACAAAGTAAACCCTATTGGCGTTTTCTTTACCACCATTACCCGTACCCATGGAGTCCTAAAGTGGGTATGCTCGAGTAGGGGTTGGGCTCATGAAGGGGTCCAGGGAGGGTGGGAAACACTGATATTGTTTCCCCCTTGGCAGCCTCCGTGAATACACCAAATCCTTCAGGCAGTCTTCACTACGTAAGGCCCGCTGCTAATGTGGGCGTGCAGACTGGCGAGACTGACTCGGTTTATTTTTCCTCATCAATTTTCAAACATGGACACGAAGGCCTAGTGTTACGCACGATCAATACAGATGGAGTCTAGCATGGCTGCGAGAACTAACGATGATGACTTGGTTTGCGTTTTCTTGCAAGCTTTCTTGTAAACATAAAACTCTCTAAGAATGTGTTGCCCCATTCTAAAGCACTCCACTGTCTTCGAGACGCCTTTCGTCTTTTGGGATACTTTCACAACAGTTCACTCTGTTGGCGCTTTTCTCACTTGGTCATACATCACGAAACCTTTGCACTGCTCAGCTTGTTCGACACTTGACACTTACTCGAGTAACCCCCCTAACCATCACAACCACAAGCGCCAACGTGTGTTTCGGTCTTCGATACTGCTACCGCCGATCACGTACACATGTGGAAGCGCAACGAACCACCTGGGGTTAACTGCCCGATGGAAGAGCAACGTGGTCACTTATTGCATGTTCCAAATTGCTCACTGGGTAGCTTGGTCGACTTTTGGATCGGTGTACTGCGTGGAGCTGAGTGTGTCACTGATCACAAATCGTTGCGGACCAAACTGTACATATATTTTGGTAAATCTATGTATTGCACTCCCGCCGTGAATCGGCGTAAATTTAACATTCTCTCCCCCGGTACTGTGGAGAAACGTATTGAGCTGGAGAAGGCGATGGCTGCACGCCTGTGTGATATGGACTGCGTAGACACAGTTCGAGGCTTGTGGCACCACATTTGCGACCACGTGACAGCTGCTGCCGAGGAGACCATCGGGCGCGCAAACTGGTAGCCGCCTGATTGGGTTGATGAGAACAATGCGACAATTGAAGCATCGGTGTTGGAGACGAATGTAGCATTTGCTGCACATGTCGCAGACCCCAGTGACTTGGGGAAGAATAGTCAGTTCCGCAATCTTCGACGGCGACTGACCCGAGAGCTCCGTCGCATTAAAAATGCATGGTGGACGAAGAAGGCGCAGTAGATGGAATGCTATGCCGAACGCCGCCAACACAAGGAATTCTTTGCCTCCTTGAAGGCCGTGTATGGACTGAGATTTCAGCCCCTGAGGACGCTGATCGATGGTGGTTCAGGCGCTACCTGTACACAGACTGCAGACATAATGCAGATCTGGCGGAAATACTTTAACTGTCTCTTGAACAACCGTTCAGATATCGACTGGCATACTTTGAACGGACTCAAGTAGCACGATGTGAAGGCGAGTCTGGCGGACACGGCGACAGTGGATGAGACGCAGAGAGCACTTGCTCGGCTGTGAAAGGGCAAGTGTACAGGTGCCAACGGGATCCCGTCTGAAGTATTGAAACACGGCGGACCCTCGTGGGTGACTGCGCTGCACCACTTGGTGCAACGTGTGTGTATTGAAGAGGAGGTGCTTGCTGAGCTGAAGCATGCCCTTGTGCTACCACTGTACAAGGGGAAAATGGAGCAAGCAATGTTGTACGAATTATCCTGTCATCAACGTGCTGAGTAGTCTAGGCAAGGGGATTGCCCGAATCCTCGTCAGTCAAGTTGTAGAACCCAACGTGGCGGAAGACCAATTGGGATTCCGTTCGGGTCGCAGCACTAGAGCTATGCTGTTTGCGGCTCGTCAGTTGCAGCAGAATTGCAGAGAACGGCACCAGCCGTTGTACTGGCCTTTCGTTGATTTCACCAAGACATTTGATACGGTGAACCGCGTGGCAATGTGGCCGGTGTTGAGTAAGTTTGGTTGCCCGAGTAACTGTAAGTGTATTTACATGTCTGCATAGTGATATCCGGGCGAGGGTACAGTTGAGTGGAGAGACCTCGGATGACTTTGCAGTTATCTCTTGTGTGAAGCAAGGCTGTGTCTTAGCTCCTGCTCTGTTTACTATATTTCTTCATGCAATTATGTCTTGTGCTTTTGATGCCGCTTGTGGTTACGGTGTTCGTGTGGAGCACCGTATTGATGGTGAGTTGCTGAACATCCGTCGTTTCAGTGCGAGAACTCTAGTCTGTGAGACAACTATCCGTATGTTGCTGTTTGATGACGACTGTGCGTTGTTTGCACACAGCGCGGATGAGTTGCAGCACATGACTACTGATTTGGCTTCGACAGCGGCCGAATTCGGGCTCACCATCAACGCAAGTAAAACTGTCTGTCTCTTTCGGCCTTCACCGTAGTTGCAATCTTTAATATTGCTGCGAATCAGCATTGGTGCTAAAGTATTAGAAACCTCCCGTTTCTGCTACCTTGGGAGTGTGATGTCGACTGATCAGCAGATACACAGTGAGCTTCGTATCCGCGTGTCGAAGGCAGCGGCGGCATTCGGGAAGCTTGTGTACCGAGTGTGGAACAACCAACAGCTTACAATTGGCACGAAGCTGATGGTGTACATATCCATGGTGCTGTCCATTCTTCTATACGACAATGAAACATGTACGATGTACCAGTGGGATGTGCGATATCTCGAACTGTTCCATCAACAGTGTCTGCGACGGATTCTGCGTATCTGTTGGGGCGACAGAGTTGTGGACACGGAAGTGTTGCGTCGAAGTGGAATGTATGCAGTGGACTGCGTACTTTTATTGAGACACCTGAGGTGGCTCGGTCATGTTAGCCGCATACATTCAACGCGTATACCGAAACGACTATTATATGGTCAGCTGAGTATTTGGAAGGGGGATTTGGTGAAACCGAAGCTTCGTTACCAGGACATGATCATAGTGAGCCCTCTCATATTGTACTCTTGATTGCAGGTCATTGGAATCGAAGGTGGCTGATCAGCGTGAATGGCGCGATCTGATCACGAAGGTAGTTGCCGAAATGCGAGAGAGACCTCATACCTGCAGAGAAGACGCGGCAAGCACCGAGGGGTTGTACTCCATTGACATCGAGCGCATGGTGCTGTAGCACACGCGGTCACGAGTGCCTGAGTCTGGTACGGCTAGTGAGCCATATTCGAGGCCATTCGGGACCACCACCGAAACGACGACTGGCACTGCAGAGAACGTAGGCAGAACCGGCACAGCGTTTGTAGGTACGCTGCATTCGATTTACTAACCGCGTGCTTGCATGCTACATCTATTTATTTCAGGTGGTGAATGTGCAATTTTGTCCGAGTGCCTTTCTTTCTCATATTAATGTTTATTTGTACTATCTTCTGTAAACCTGCACTCGTCACTGAAGCTAATTGTAGTTAATTTCGGTAACATTTTCGTGTTTGTTTCATTTTCTTAAAGTATATTTTCTCACCTCTCTAACTTATTGCGGATTCGTTCGTAATCAATTTATTTTATACGCTCATTTATGGAAAAGTTATGTCTCCAAATCTGTAAGCATTATCCGATTTATTTTAGTTGATATGGTCCTTTCAAGTGATTGGCTGTTGCTTGATATCACCGGTGTGGCTGCGCTTGATGTGTATGTTGACAACCTGGCTACCTGTCTATTACCCACTGCCTCGTCCATACTGGATCTAGGAGACAGTTGGTCGTTGCTGGAGGGGACAGGGTGCACGGTGATTGTGGCCCTGCTAGGCTCAAATAGCGGTTCCATGCACTCAGTGTGGAGCGGACTACGGTCCAGCCACCGCTTTGTGTGCGCTTGATTCCCTAAATACAGCGTGCTTGTGTTTGCCTGTGAAGGAGTGTGGGCCGGCTCCGTTGATGAAACGTGGCTCCCATCCACATGCCTGCCGGTCTTATTCCTTCGGGTTTACACTTTATATGGGGTTTGTGGGTGGTGCACCGCAAGCCACCCATGGTCCCTCTGTGGGCGCAGGTGTTCTGTGGCTGCTCACAGTGACAGGCAAATCCGAAACTGGATGCCGCCAACCATATATATATATATATATATATATATATATATATATATATATATATATATATATATATATATATATATGGTGTCTCGTTTAATATCTGTTGTGTTTCGGACCCCACGGCATTCTAGTAAGCTACCCGATCCTCATGATCCAAAGTCGCATGCAGCGATCTTCCGACACTCCCCTGTGTGTATGCTCGCTGTATGCCTGTCCAGTTGCAACACACCTCTACAGTTACGCTCTCTATTAGTGCGAACCGTTGTGAATCCAACGTCGACACCACTGGTTGCCCCATGGTTCCCTCATGCACTTGTGCTGTTGCTGCTGTCTGCGATGTGTTTCGTGCATCATCAGCAACAGCAGCTGCAGTGCAGCATTACGTTTCGTTCTTACTGCGCCAGCATAGAGTCATAACGACCTCACTGATGAGGTATAGGAAGTTGGGTGAAGATGACCGTGCTCCAGCTGACTATCTTGCTAGAACAAGATGGCATCAGTGGTACACTTACCTTGTGTCACGCATACACTTGAGTGTCGATCGTGAACATTGCTGCTCACCTGTCTGGTTAACACTGAACTTGCCTTCCTCCGTTTCCTTCATTGTTTCTTGGATTCGGCAATTTTTGCCCCTGTAAAGTAGTCAGCCTTCATTAAATGACTGCGCTCTACGCCTGCACGTTCTCTTTCGTCCATCGAGCTGCGTGGCATACTTGACACCTTGCAACTTCACTTGTCTCGTGTCATAATCGACCACAACCCGCGCCAACTACCCTTTGCCATTGAAGTCCACTGGGGAGTCGACAGCAAACGCGCCACTGATGCAGGCGCTTTATCATGTCTAGTAGGGTTTCCTCCCTCTGTACGGTGAGTGAATCACTCGGCAGGCTAAACCCACCGTCAGCGCTCAGTTTAATTTTCGGTGTCTTCGCTTCCGGTAGACACAGTGAGAATTGCCTTCGTTGAACATCAATCCTACCTATACTCGGCGAGCAGAGTAAAAATTGCCTGTGTGTGTTGGGCTTATTTGTTGGACGAACGAGTTGCCTTGACCATCACCTCTGTTAAGGCTAACTGATCTGCTTTTATTCTTTTGTATCCAATTATTCTCAACGTTTTCCGCATCCATTTTCACTCTAATATTAGGTTTTGGATTTTTGTCCATTGATAATCTGGAATTAATTTATTCTCTCAATTACTTCTGACTTTTGAGCTCATGGTTTGTTTAATGCGGGAATATGATTTAAACCGTGATTCTGCTCGTCAACTAGTCATCTTAACTGGAGGTGTGCTTGTGCCCATCGGCGTCCTTGAGAAGTGTGCGCATCCAGTCAGACTATCTTGTATCATAACACCGCCGCCAGGTGGTCGACGCTAGCTCGGATTAGACGAACTCTTGCGCAGAACGCCCGGGCACGCAATCAAAACCCATCCACTTCGGTATTTGCTCATAGTCTTCTTACCATGAAGTATCCACACAGCGGTTACCCCCTGTTCCTACTGACTACTTCTCTTCCTTCCCCCTTATTGGATTCATGCAATTCGACTTGAGTGGGAACATAACTTAGGTCAACTGCGACAGATTTTTGGCCTCCAGACGCAGTTGCTTTGTCTGTGCGTAGAATAAGAAACTGCCCTACCACTTGGCCCTTCACTCGTACTTTCACCCACCACAAATGTGGGTTGAGTCACCAGCAAATCTTTGTGCCGGAACGATCGGTGCGGTCCACAGTTAGTGACGCACGAGTGAGTTTACTCCGTGGTTTTGATGGGGTTCTAACTTCGTTGGGAGGACGAAAAATAAGCTCCGTACTTCATCAAGCTTGACCGAGTATCCGACATGATGATAAGGCAAACTTTACAACCACGCGATTTCTGACCGAACACACAAGTGTACTTCCCCAACTTCAAGGTCAAGTTCGGAGTACCACCTGCTTCTTTAACCTTCTGAAGTAATCTCCTCATGCGCTTGAGCTAACTTCTCCATAATACGTAATAACCGCTATTCGAGGGATAATCAGAGTGTCGGCTTTTGCGTTACTCTTACTTCCAACAAACACATCGAGTGTTTCCTCAGCATAAGGACACAATCTAAACTGCGTCAGAGACAGATCAGGGCAGTGTTCTAATATTGATTAGTGTGAACATGACCGCTGTATCGATTACTAAAGGTACCACCCGGCCTTCAATGTCCGGATCACTAATATGTAGCGGTGCTGCGTACCCATGATGTGGTTGTGTACGAACCGGAAAATAAATTGTCTCCTTCGTGTTTTCCACTGTTCGAGGAGCATATTGGGAGGAAGGCTATTTCGTATCGTGGAAGCGAAGTCAAGCGACATACTCTTTCGATATTTCTGACTTTACCACATTCTTGGTAGATAGGTTGTTTGTGTCCACAGCTGGGCAATTTTTAATGCTTCGAACTGCATGTACAATGACAACCGAGGTTTGCGTTTAACTGACAAGGGGACAGTTCTGGTAACGCACTGATTGTCGTCCCACGTATAAGGTTTTTCCTGTGTGTGTTTCATGCGCATTCCGTTACGGCTTATGGATCAGGTAGATAAGACCGGTTTATCTAACTATGAGCGACTGACAGATTTTCACGCTTGCACATCAGAAAACAAGTGTTCTCAAATACCATTGTGTGACTGTCTTGTCTTCGGTGGTTAAAATCATAGCTGTACCAGGTCTGGCTGAGCTCATTATAAGTGGTAACAATATATCCAGCCGTCTGCGAACACCACGGCCACCGAGTCCTGCGAGTTAGAGTGCAGTACACAGTCTTTGTACCGAGGCATGGTGAGTGATAATCCAATCGCGGAGCAGACCTGATAGCACAATCGTAAGAGAAATGAAAAATGTCCGTTTTTTTCAAGGTATACCCTGGACATGGAGCGACCAAGACTGTGGTTATTTTGATCACCGTAGGGCTCCGATATGCAACGAACAAACAAGGATGCACTTGCTCGATGGATCTTTGGGGTATAGGAGATGCGTGGACCGGGTGGTCAAAATGCGCGACACGAGCCACTTTGGAGGTGCGTGTTCATTGGTTTAACCGTGACCCTGACCCCTGGCCGACTGTAACATGGAAACGAACCTGGTTTCTCCGTCCCAAAAGAGCGAGTTATTTTCATGTTAGCCGTATTTTTGTCTCAGTGCAATTCTGAGGTGAACATGGTAACAACTAGGAATTGAGCTGCCATGGGACCACGGTCCAGGCATCTGTCTATCCGGCACCAAATGCGTGGATCAGCTCTTTGTTCAACTTGAGCCTACCGTATCTGAACGTTATCGCAACCTTAGAGTGTTATCACACTAATTCACTCACTCCTGTAAGCCATACGTAATGACGGATTGTGAACCGGTCCTAATCCTTCAGGTCTTCGTTGGACATATCGTGTATGGCGTGATCTCTCCTCAGATGAAAAGTAGTAGGCATAAGCAGTACGCCAGTACGCAGTACCGATGCTTCACTGCCGCGCAACCGCCATCGCACGTCGGCTAAGGATACTACGAGGGTTTCTTAGTCCTTACACAGGCTCGAACCCGCGCCCTCCGATTACAAGGCAGACTTGTGACCCTTTAGGCTATGCTCGGTGATCGTTGTGATCGCTCTCCTTCGCCGTTACCGTGGGATACGTTCAGACTGCATTCATTTCAGGTTACATTAAGACATCAAATGCTTTCGATATCCATTGTAGTTGCCAACTTATCATGTACTATTGCTGCTGTAAAGGATTGTCGCGCACAGAGTAGGGTTTCGTCACAGTGAGTAGATTAGCAAAGACCTGTTATCCTCCTGGTTATGTAGATACATCTACATTTGTTAGGTCTCACCGAAGTTGCATCCCTCTCCGATATCATGCTTTTACGTAAACCTCTTGCTGGTTTCTCTTATGTTGTGCATGTTTGTGTTCACTATCACTGTATCGTTCATCTTCGAAACTAACCAATTTCCTTTTACTCTCTCGTTAGGAGCTGACTCGTTTATTTGAAGCTGAGGATGGGGCTTTCTACTTCTCTCCTGGGGGCGGCGACATCACTAGCTGGACACAACGCAAGCTCTCTGCACACTATTGGACCGGCGCTTCGCAGTGCACCAATTCTACTGATGTCGAAGCTCCACGGGATCTGTGTCACATGCCCGCGCTTCGACAACCGGTTTGGCGCCGCGCGGAAAATCATTTTTTTTGGAACATCAACTTGTTGTCGGACGCAATTGCAGATGCCGACCGGCTACTATCTTCGCATGGGCTTCCCAGCTATGGGGCGACTTACGCGTCTGTCGCAGAGGAGAGCGATTTGATCAAATTAATCTCCGATTTGGAAGGTTTAATTGTTCCCATCGTCCAGGGTTACGTGGAGCTAGCGCAGATTTCTCTGAACGAAGTTGCATTCCCACAGTTCCTCTTTCATCCGAGGTCCAAGCCGTCAGCGAACACAAAGATCCAACGGACAATTTATCGCTCTCGATCATCAATAGATCTTTCTGCCGAGTGTTCCATAAGTCAATCTAACAGTGGTCGCAATCAAGTTGACGCTCCAGGGCAGATCGAAGACGATTCCACAATTTCCTTCGGCAGTAAGTTTGACAGCGGAACCTCAAAGAGCGAATCGGACACTGGTTATCCCCAAACTGCGGCAGATGGACACACGACCTTTGAGGAGGATGATTCGGAATTGAATGCGGAAACAGTGGATTCGACCTCACAAAGCTACTCCTTGTCTGTGACGCAACGCCACACGCATCCTGATCCTCTTTCCTCTGATGTGACGGTAATCCTCTTTTCACGTCGAAGTCGTTTCCGTGCCGGTAGGTGATTTCTTCCCTCTTAACTCTGCTCCATTAATGCGGATCTTCGCATAGGTTTAAAATGTACCCACGTTATGGTTCCTTTTAATACTCTTAATCAACACATCTCTATTCTAAACTACTACGAAGCACGGAAGCTCATTTGCCACCGTTGACATTACCTTTGCTATCGCGATCACGTGGTGCTTTCCAAAACTATACGTAGCCTAGACTAGGTATCTGCACGAGATGGGACAAGAAAACTGTAGGCTTATAAAACGAACTTAAAACATAAGTTCCTGTTACCGTGGTTCTATAATACAAATTAAATACAGTAATCAACTTACGAATAGGTTTACAGTTCTAATGGGAATGGTCAGAAACTGGAAGACCTGCGGCGCCGTGGCAAAACGGTACAGCGTAGCAGTTTGCTAATCCGCAGACTGTCAAAAATGAAAAGTTTGATCTTGAGGAGTCAATGATATGCCAATAATGTGAAATGAAGACGTCAAGTGTTTCATAATGTATGTTAGAAGCAAACAAGTAAAAATTTCTGTAAGGACCTAAGTTATGGGTTTGTGGAAATGAGATAGTATGTCCTCAATAGGCAAACCAGTTTGACTGAATACTCAAAGTTCTCTCTGAACTTTACAACCCCCCGGTGGTCTTCCATCCTCTTCAGTGGCTTCCCCTTCTTCGTCATCTTCTTCCTCGTTTACTTCTACCGAACAGAATTGCCTGACGTTCCTTCCGAGGATACCCTTGCTTGTCCTCACCAACGCCTGTCGAGCCATTTGGTTTTTACCTTGCAGATTTCTTCCGCGACTGCCTTTAGCCACAGACCTCTTGAAGTGCGTAACTCGTAAACTAGAACTAGATCACCCTTTCTGTGCTTTCGAACTTTAGTTAACCATTTCTATCTCTGCTGTAGTTTCAGTAAGTACACTATAATCCATCTTCACGAAAGCATATCGGAAAAAAAGCCTTACCCGTCTCCATCTTGTACTCAGTTTCATCGATAAATTGATCGTCGCGTTTTCGAAATGCTGATCGTTCTCCAGGTTCATCAGTTATCTCGACGGTATGGTGTCATTGGGATAAGGTACGTCAGGTGACCCTACTAGAGGCCTATTGTTAGGAAATAATACGCTAAGCGAACAGCCGAGGCTCCCATCGCCGTTACGAAGCCAAGACGTGGTAGGCGATCCAAACCTACCCGCACTGATTGAGACGAACTGATATCCAACCGGGTGCAGTGGACAATTAACCCGAGGGTGGCATTCCTTAATTGGCCGTAGGTTGACCCTTCCAGAGTTTTCCATTTGAGTTTTAAATACCATTCACGAATTTTCGTTTTTATCTTTATAATGAACGTATTGGTTGGCTATTACATCCCTGTTCCTTTGCTCGTCTTATCCGGTCTTCTGTCTTTCCTGTGATGGGCTCAGCGATCTGGGGTTTCGATTGCGAGTCAACCGTCAATTCAGGCGAGGAACGAACGCTTCAACTGGCAACGGATTGAACGCTTATCAAGATGTCCATATCAACTGACGAGATCAAAGCCACTGTGCTGCAGCAACAAACTCAATTTGAGGCATCCCAACTCAGACTATCCGAAACTCTTACGTGTCAACTGTCAATCCAGACCGGTTCACAGTCTACAACCGTCAAGCCGTCCGCATCGATAGGCGCCATCACTAACAGCATTACCGCATTTTCGTGCGACGATGATGCTGACCTCACCTTTGAATTCTTGTTCAAGCGTTAGGAAGATGTGTTCCACGTTGAACTTGGAGAACATTTTGACGATTGGAAAGTCCGATTCCTGGTAAGGAAACTTGGAACAGCAGAACACTCTAGTTATGTCCGTTTTACTTTGCCCAAGAACGCTCAAGACTGCACTTTTGATGAGACTGTCAAATGCTTGGGCCAAATATTTGGGGAGCAGTCATCCAGTCAAGTGATATCAATGCTTGAAGATCACCAAGGTAGACGCTGATGACTACTTCACCTACGCTGGCATCGTTAATCGCCAGTGCGGAAAATTCGGCATCAAAGCCATCAAGACAGATCAATACCAATGGCTGCTTTTTATCTGTGGCCTTCATTCCCCACGGGATGCAGACATTCGCACCAGACTGCTGAGTAAACGTGAACAAGACGCGCAAATGACTCAACAGACCATCAATGCTAAATGCTGAACCTCAAGTCTGACACGCTCATGCTGGAGAGGAAACTGTCAACCCCAAATCTTAGTGTATTGAAAACCACTTCAAAGGAACCGTTTCCAAGAGAAACCGGCCAAGAAACATCCAGAGAGAATCCCAAGTCTCCGACTACCTGTTGGAGATGTTGTGAGTGGCATTTTGTTCGAGGATGTCCATTCCTGAAACATGTTTGCCACAAGGGTCCTAAACGGGGTCGTAAGTAAGCGCACTGCCGATCCAGACTGCTGTTCAAGTGTGCTAGACATTCGCCAACAAATTCGAATGTACCCAAAAGCTTCGGCAGCTATAGTACGGTTCAGGCGGCCTACTCTGGTGAACTTATGGCTCGCAGAAAGTACATCAGAGTTCATCTGAACGGGAAACAATTGCGTCTTCAGTTGGATACAGCGTCGGACATCACAATTATCTCCCGCAAAATTTGGCAGTATGTTGGTGCTCCGTCAACCAGCCGAATGACACCTCTTGCATTTAACGCTTCAGAAGGTCAACTTTCATTGGTGAGCGGCAGTGTGAACTGGCTTTTGGCGCTGCTCGGGCACACTATATCGTGTTTCGCAACGACTTGGGAAGATGCACAAAGATCAAGGCAAGCCTTACTCTCAGAAACAGTGTCAAACCGGTATTCCGACCCAAAAGACCGGTACCATACCATGCACTTCCGATTGTTGATGTAGAACTTATTCGTTTGAAGCGGATCGACCTCATCCAACCTGTGAACTATTCAGCATGGACTGCACCTGTTGTTGTCGTCAAGAAGACTAATGAAACCGTTCGTATCCGTGCTGACTACTCTACAGAATTGAATGCTGCTTTGAAAATGCACCAGTATCCTTTGCCAGTCCCAGAAGACTTATTTGCTAAGCTCAGTGGTGACGCTTTTTTGCAAACTTAGATTTGTCAGATACTTATCTTCAAATTCAAGTCGACGATGCTTCAAAGGAGTTGCTGACAATCAATACGCACCGAGGTCTACCAGTTCAGCTTTTTGGTGTCAAATCAGCTCCCGCTATTTTTCAACACATTATGAATACGATGTTAGCTGGCTTATCAGGCGTCGCAGATTATTCGGACGACATCATAATCAAAAGCTTCTACCCATCAAAAACTGACGGAAAGACTGGAAGCAGTTCTCCACCTCTTTAATGATTACAGGTTCCACTTGAAAGCAGAAAAGTGCACTACCGGCATGAAGTGTGTAAACTATATTGTCTTCTTCATCGACAAGGTTGACCGTCGTCCGGATCCTTACAATATAAGTGCCATCAAACAGATGCTTCTCCTGACAATGTCGCGAAGCTCAGATCATTCTTGGGGTTGATCAATCGTTACGGCTCCTTTGTGCGCGAAATGCATCGGCTACGAGGAGTGTTAAATGAACTGGTAAAGGATCGCAAATTTGTATGGTATCCTGAATGTCAAACCAAGTTCAATTATGTCAGGTCTATAAGGAATTCTGACCTATTGCTAACGCATTTCAATCCGGATCTGCAGCTCGTGCTTGCTACTGACGCGTCAGGCTACGGAATTGGAGCGGTCATATACAACATGTTCCCCAGGCGTTCGGCGAAAGTTGTGGCACATGCAACCAGATCACTCAACCCAGCGGAACGCAACTGTGGGCAGATCGAGAAAGAAGCTTTGGCTATTGTGTTTGCAGTCAAGCGATTTCATAAAATGTTATATAGACGAAAATTCACGTTGTTTATTGATCACAAACCCTTGGTTGCAATAATTGGATCAAACAAAAGCACTTCGGTTTGCAGGGCTAGTCGTCTCCAACGCTGGGCAACGGTTCTACTTGTTTACCATTTCGTCGTCAGCTATCAATCTACACACACAACATTGGTCAGGCGGATGCGTTCTCGTTCAACTGGTACACAGAATCAAGAACCAGAGGATTCGGTAGTTGCTCAAATCTCCGTAGAACCCAAAGTAACTCAAGTTGTGTCGGACGTTTTCGGTGTTTTACCAGTAACGTTCGAAATGGTGCAGGAAGCGACTAGTCATGATTCTACCCGACAACAAGGTCTCAATTACCACCTTCAGTGCTGGCCAAAGAGAGTTACAACACCGGAGCTTCAACAATTCCACCAGCGAAAGGAGGCACTATCAGTCGTCAACACTTGTCTGCTGTTCTCAGATCGCGCCGTCATTCCTGTCAAGAGAGAGTCCTCCGACAATTTCATACTGGCCACCCAGGAATGAATCGCATGAAATCGCTGGTACGAAGCTATGTGTGGCGATTGCACTGTTCGCTGGGCTTGACAATTTTGTTGCAAATGTTTCGTCGCCAATCGAGGTTACAACAGTGCGTAGTTGAATGGCGTGCAGTAGCTTAGAGGATTCTCGGTGAGGCTCCTCTACGCCACTGCACGCCATTTAGCTACGCACTGATGATGTCACCTCAATTGGTGACGAAACGTTTGCAACAAAATTGCCAAGCTCGACAAACAGTTCAACTGCCATCTGCACAACCTGAGCTACCAGTCTTCAATGCTGAAGCTATGTATATTGGCTCTATATGGATTCCCAGATCGATTATTTAACGAAGAATTGTCCGAAATGTGTCGGTGTCTCTAAATAGCCTAGGAAGACGGAATCGCAATCCTGGCCAGTACCAACGGAACAATGATCCAGGTTACACGTCGACTTTGCGGGTTCAGTTGACCGTCATCATTTTCTTCTCGTTGTCGATGCCTACAGTAAATGACTTGTGATCCCAGTGGTGAGAACTACCGCAGGAGCCACTGTCTCAGCTCTTCGACTGGTTGTTTCTCGTTTCGGTGTTCCCCA